GCCATTTGAAGTCAAGGACTTTTCTCCCTCACCTTCACCTTCACCTGAAGTGGATGAGGTGAATTATATGTAGACACAGGGCCAAATCCATTCGAGCCGCTGGCTCAAACTGAGGTCTTAACTCCCGCATCGCGACCGGCATCTGATGAGTTTTGTCGTCGAGTTGATCTCAATAGCGCACGCTCTGTGGGCATATATTCATATTGATATTCTGCCGCTATGTGAAAAAATCCAGCAAAATGCGCCGGCTCGTTTGTCGACCCCAGAGGATTAACTTTATCCTAACCATAAATGGTGATTAAAATATCCATGATCACTCACATCAAAACGCCGCTGCGGTGGTGGAGTCCATGCAGGAGGAGCAGTCCCAGACAGCAAACTGACATTGAATCAACGTGGAAACGACGTCTCTCATGACATTGAAACAACGTCGATTTTGCTCATCGAATTAACGTTGAACCAACGTCAGACGCGGCATTCTTCAAAGCTAAATGAAAATTGAAAATTGGTTTGCTTTCATAACGTTGAAACAACGCGTTGATTTCAAGTTGATTTTCCGTTAGTTTTGAAAGAATGACGCGTCTGACGTTGGTTCAACGTTAATTCGATGAGCAAAACAATGTCAGATCAACGTTGTTTCAATGTCATATTTCCACGTTGATTCAATGTCAGTTTGCTATCTGGGGTGTTTGGCACTGCGTGTGGAGCTGTGTGGAGAAGCCCATGTCCACCTCTATTCCGTTATTATCCTGATCACTGTACTAAACACTGATAAATCTATGCTAACTTGAAGCTATCCTAACTGTACTATGCTACTAGCTACACAAAATAATCTAAATTATCTATATAATGCTATGCTAAATAGATGCAACAATACTCTCTCCTGATCGTTTTCAAAAATAATCTAAATAATCTAAATAAATATATAAATGCTATGCTAACTAGATGCTAATATATGCTATCCTGATCGTTTTCATTTTCAATACTCATAAATCCAACTCCTGACTCGCTACAGTAGCTTTGACGGAACCAGATGCTTTTATACCAGGGGCTGCCAAGGGCGTGGTGAGCTCGCACCAAGGGCGTGACAGAGTGGTGTCGGAGAGTTCCCTACGTCAGAAAGTACCCCTACTGCAGGAGCTTTCCGTTTAACCTGAAGAGGGCAGCACTCAGACGTTTTTACACCATATATTTGAAAATCAAAACACTTTATACTCAATTGTCAAAAAATGTACTCGAATCAATGAACAGCATTTATGAAGCTCCATTCTTACAGATCATTAACTAAAAAAAAGTTGTTTTGGTGTTTAGTTACCCTTTAAGCAGTAGCCTACTAAAGATAAGTACACTTTAAGTACATTATGGAAGTGTACTAAGTGCGCCAGTGGCTCAGTGGTTCATGTAGATTGTCTACAAACCGAAAGGTTGGTGGTTCAATCCTCGGTTCCACCTGACCAAGTGTCAAGGTCTCCATGAGCAAGACACCTAACCTCATCTGCTCCCGACGAGAGTTCATATTTGCAACGATACCACAACAGTATAGCCCGATTGTGTTCTCATCATTTTAATGACGAATCATTCAAAAACATAAATGAATTCAAATGTGGATTCGCAAGCTGGTTGTTCCTGAAGGAGGTCTCAGTATCCAGTGTGTATGGATCAGCTTCCTCCTCCGAATCACAACCTGGAAGTATTATTAATAATTGTTGCTTTTATGGGTTTTGTAGCATCGGGGCGCGAGGAGGGGAGGCGCAATAAGTATGTGTGTGTGTGTAAGTTATGCTCAGCGCAGCTTCTAGGTCTCCAATGTCAATGTTTTTAAATATGTGAAATGTTTGTCGCTGTTATTGGAGTTGTCATAAAGAATAGAGCGTCTTTTAGTACTGCAGTGCTTTATCAATACGTTTTTGCGTTGGGCTAACAAACAATAACTGACTGGGTCATCTGACCAATCACCGCCGATTAGCGTCACACAAAGAAGTGGTTTGGAAAAATGAGTCGTTCTACGAATCATTTGTGAGTCAGTGAGCAAATCAGGTAAAAATAAATGCATATTATAAGACAACAAAAGTGTTTTTTGTCATTGCATTCATGTAAAACTGTTGTTGGAGATTCCCAGAACAAATTAGGAACATTTTAAATGCTATAATAGGTGCTCTTTAAAACCCCGGTCTTTAAGTAAAAAGATGAAAAGTAGTAGGCCTAATTTAATTAAATACATTTATGGTTAGATTACTACATCTTCACCATAAATGTATTTAATTAAATACTACTTTTCATCTTTTTACTTTAAGACCGGGGTTTTAAGCATACGTCCATTCAAGTATGTAAAAGCGAACAAAGATAATCGGAATGCTGACAACTTTTTTGCTGCATAAATTCTGAATTTGAAATAAAAATAGTGAGTATGTGTTTGTGGTACAGTAGCGGATCAGTTACGCACTGCAAACGCAGCATTATGTGAAAGCATTTTATAGCACGTGCTGCTCCATACCGTATACACACACCGGCACCGTCTGTAAGACGCACCACATTTGACGAACAAAATAAATGCTCTGCTAGTTAACTGAAGGTGTTTAATCGATTTGTATAGGTACATCCATGGCGCGAAGATGTTTTAAAAAGGGGTGGGGAGAATATCGACCCCGGAAAAAAAAGTGGTGACGTGCGTTAATGTGAACGCCCCCTCTCGGTATTTCAGACGCCCCCTCATCAGCAGGAACAGGGATATGAAGAATTGCACAAGTGCTACTGCTAAAGAGTGCATTGTCAATACAGCCTGTTACCTTGTTTCAAATGTCTCCATAAGCTTAATTGAATTGGCCAAAAGCGAAAAATTATAATGTCATTGCAAACCATGGCAACACCGTGGGTTAGCAGTTGTCGGTGTTTGGATTGGCGGAACATTTTAAACTTATTTTCCCGAATAAGATTAGTTCTTTGACATTTCTGCATGCAAATATTTTTACATATGTAGTGAATGATATGGAGAAAGCCAGAAACTTAAAAAAAAACCTCTTTTACATTATTCAAGTTCAACCAGTTACACAAGCTCATCTTTTTCAACATACAAAATCATCAGTCCCACCAGTTATAAAGTTCTAGTTCCCACAGGAAAGATGCAGTAATGTAATGGTTTCTATAGTCATGGAAAGCATTATGGAAATTATATTGGATTTAATGGTTTTCATGGTAATTATAGTGGTCTCTGTGGGTCTCTGCTGTAGTGGTTTAAATGGTAAAAGCAAATGGTTCCTATTGGTATTTTAATCGAAACCATTAGAATTTCTGTGATGGTTTCCAACTTTTTTTAAGCTGGTCTGATCTGTCCTTATGTTAAGAAATAATTATACACACACACACACACATCATGCTTAATGTTTTATTTATCAAGGTGAACACAGTATCTGTAAAATTCACCAACATAAATGAGTTGCACAGCACTAACACTGTTTCATCTTCGATCGTTTTGGTAAACTCGTGAAAAATGGGGCGTTAATATACACGCCTACTTGCATTTTATGGTTGTCAGCTTTGTTGCATTACATTTACTTCACCAGGAAATGGTGCTGCAATTTCTGAATGAAGCTTCGAGAAATGAACCATTTTCAACACAATTGTATCAGAAAGCAATAATGCTTTGAAACGCTTCATTTGGCCATCAGTACACGATCACATTTATGAAAGTTTACACATTTCATAATGTGTACTCACTAAATCCAAGGAAAATATATCATATAAATGTTAATGTCTCTTATTCAGTCCTCTCTGACGATCTTAACTTTTACACAAAGTTACGCTGCTGCTCGTCTCACAGTCACACAGAGAAAAGAAAATGGATTCCCCCATACAGCAACTAATGTGTTGGGCGGGACTTCAACATAAACCTCACGTAATTGGACAAATCAATAAAATGTCAATCATCACACTGACATGCATTTCTTTTTGATTTTATCATTTCTCTTACACTTTTTTTACTAATTCTGGTTAGTTATTTTAACAACTCAAATTAATTAATTCCCATTTATAATTATTTTGTTAAATTGTACTGGGTTCCCAGATAGCAAACTGATATTGAATCAACGTGGAAACGACGTCTCTCATGACATTGAAACAACGTTGATTTTGCTCATCGAATTAACGTTGAACCAACGTTAGACGCGGCATTCTTCAAAGCTAAATGAAAATCGAAAATTGGTTTGCTTTCATAACGTTGAAACAACGCGTTGATTTCAAGTTGATTTTCCGTTAGTTTTGAAAGAATGACGCGTCTGGCATTGGTTCAACGTTAATTTGATGAGCAAAACAATGTCAGATCAACGTTGTTTCGATGTCATATTTCCACGTTGATTCAATATCAGTTTGCTATCTGGGTTACAAATGCACAGTCACCATGTTGATATACAGACCATTTCCCAACCGAAACAAATGAGCTTTTCAGGATTCAGGATTTGTTGTTTGCTGCCTCGAGTCAAACGAGACCACCCTTGTGTTTCTATGACACTTCTCTCCGGAGATATCCTTTTGATCTTGATTGTGACTTTCTTTACTTAATGGCAGGAAATTATATTTAAAAAAATCAATAAATATATTTTTTCAGGTTCCTGAGTATTGGTAACAGGGTTGCACCGAGCACAAAAAAAAAGGTATTATAAAAGGTGTGCCTTTCATACCTGAGCTGAACGAATCAAATTATTTAATGGTATATTGGCTTGTTTTTATGAAATACATAAAAAAATAGTAAAATAGAGGGCCAATTTTTCAAAATGATGGATGCTCAAATGTATTTCCGCTAAGGCTATGTTTAGGTGAACTAACTAGTCTTTTAAATTAGAAGATAAATATAATTGAGTCCATTTATGATTTAAATTATGCCTTCGTTTTGTTCATATTTATGTTCGGAGGGAACTGGAATGTGCTGAAATGAACAGCTTGAATGCACTGTAAAACACTTAAAATTATAGCTTCTGCTAAATGTAATATGAATGTAATGCTCTCAGCGTTTCCATAAAGGGAAGATGTCAGTCAGATCTTCATCTCCAGAACCCAGCTGTGTGTCTATGAAGAGCAATCAATCCATGGATCCTCCTCTTAAATTCAGTGATGAACCAGCGATCTCTGACACCAGGTGAGGATAAACGTGGGTGACTAAACTGCTCTATGGGAGTAAAAAAAAAACAAAAAAAAAAAACACTGAATGCAGACAGATTTATTATTCCAGGTGATATGTGCAGAATTAAGGTGATATGTTCACTTTTGTTCACTGTTTTGAATTGAAGACTTGAAGTTTATTTTATCAAGCTTTTGCCATTTGATTTGGTCTGAGAACTGTGAGTGATTTGTTGTATGATTTTCTTGGTGTCATTTTTGATGTTATTTTAATAGATTTGTAATCTGTAGTGAAGTTTTTTTCTTCCACACATCAGACCAGGAGACTTTTGAGGTATCTTTCACGCAGAAGTTCTTTATTGCGTCGCTGTAGTCATCTCAAAATAAGTCTGATTTAAAAGAACCTTACATTCTAATTTATATATTTCAAAGAGGATGGGATTACCTAAAGGTGGAGACACTGAAACAAAGCAAATGGTCATGCATGTGACCCTAAAGCTCCAAGGCAAATGGTCTCAGAAATCAACATAGCAGCTGTTCTAACTTCAAACCCGAGTTTTTACACGTTGAGTCGAGAAACAGGAAAGGCATAGCTTTCCCGTGCGTTTTAAAAGACAGTCAGGCTCCATTTAAAACATTAAATTAAACATGTTAATAAAATATGTAATCTCACATTATCAGGTTGCATAGTTATAAATTTCTCCCTGATATAATCAATGTTGTTAGTAAAGATGTTTATAAAGTCATTACTGCTGTGCTGCTTGGAAACGTCAGAGGTTGAAGCTTTATTTTTTGTTAATCTAGCCACTGTTTCAAATAAATACCAATTTCTTCTAATAGGGTTGAAAAATAAGCAGATCTAGCAGCTTTAAAGGCCTCGCTTTCTTGCCATGAAATGAAAAAAATAAAATTTGTCTGGGGCACTGTTTCGTGAGGCACTGCCTGGAGCACTGCTTATACTGTTTTAAGCTTTTCTACTGTTCTCGTCCAGTGATGGGGGGAATCCTGGTTTTGTATCAGACCAACTGCTCCTCCATCTATCTTCTCATGAACATTGTTTTTCTCATGCTCTTCATCTATAGCCATTGTTGAAAACACTTTTTGACTCTTTGTGACTGAATTTCCCTGCCAGAAATTCCCTTGCCAGACCGGGGTTGGTTTTGGAAAGATCTGCCATGTATTTTAACATGAACAGGCAACCAGCGTGCATAATTTGTGTGCTACCAATAGAGAGACTGAAATCTGCCTCACACACGGATCTTACAAGTTACAAGACAATGAGCTCCATCTGCAGGGCAGTGTGCCAAAACAGAAACTGAGGACTTTCTTGCTGTCTAGTTGTACACCAGTTGTCAATGGTGACAAAGCAGATCAGAAGATAGTCTTGATTCAATGTACTGGTGTAAGATTTTTACACCAGAATGTGGAGATTACCGGCAGTTACTTGATGTGCACACATTGTCCGTGTGACATAGGATGCTTTCCGGAAGGACTCTGTAACTCCATGGGTAGATATATTGGCTTGGCCAAAGGCTTCCACCCAACCACTACCTTCTAGCCAGTTTCCTTGTATCTTGAGACCTGCCACCTCAATATGCAGTCTTCCTGAGACACTGACAAAGTAATCTTTCCCATGTGTAAAGGGCCAACTAAACTGTATTTGTTTGGCTATGCTGTACAGAAGCTGGTCCACAGTGACAATGGTTAGCCTACTTGTCCTTTATTTACCCTCTGTACAGCTTGATTGATGACATTCATTGCATGATGAATCATTACCACTGATTTGGAGTCATCAGAATATAGGGGAAGTTGAGCTAAGATTGCAGGGGGGAGCTCCTTTCGTTGCAGCCAATTGGCATGAAAGGCTGGCCAGGAAATATGTTCTACAGGTCGAACTTCTAGGACACAGTTAGATACTGCGATATCAGTGTAATCCTTCTAACAACACCACTGAATTCACTACTCACCTGAACAGTTTATTATGTTGTATATGATATCATTGTAATCCTTAATCCTTTTTGCAATGGCTCCATTTCTGAAAATGGTCAGGGTTCCAAACTACAACTTTACCAAGTTTCATGCTTTTATAAAAAAAGTGTTGATTATTTTCACATATCACCTGGTCTATATGTCATTTTCTATTTCAAATATGGACAGAGGTTCAGTAATGGAAACGTAACTTTATAAACTTTTAACTTTTTGAAAATTAACTTTAAAGGGATAGTTCACTTTGAAATTAATTTTTGATATGCTTTAGCTTACCTCAAGGGCATCCAAGATGTAGGTGTATTTGTTTTCAATTTTTAAATTTTTCAGTCAAACCGTTGTTATCTATCAGTCATATAATGGAGGTTTAGGGGGTCCACAAAAGAGCATGCACAGAGAAGTCCAAATTAAACATGATTTAATGACTCGTAAATGTAAGTACACATTGATGGCCTAAGACACGAAACGAGCGGTTTGTGTGAGAAAACCAACAGTATTTATATCGTTTTTACCTCTTGTAATCATAGCCATGACAAAATGATCTGACGGCACGGGCACTTCGGTCTGCGCATGTGCCAGAAGTGATCTCTCGCGCGCCGACGTCACTCTTTGTTTATACAGAGATTTCGGAAGTTTTACCTTTCACTAAACATATTTAGATATACGGGAAACCGCAATGGAAGACGATTTCGGTATATCTAAATATGTTTAGTAAAAGGTAAAACATCCAAAATATTAATGTAAATATTGAGTGACGTCACACGCAAGCGATCACTTCTGGCATAACATTGAACTGATACAGTTCGGTTCAGTTGGATATTGCACAACTGATTCAGATCACTGTGATTACACGAGGTAAAAACGATATAAATACTGTTCGTTTTCTCACACAAACCGCTCGTTTCGTGTCTTAGGCCATCAATGTGTACTTACATTTACGAATCATTAAATCATGTTTAATTTAGACTTCTCTGTGCATGCTCTTTGGTGGACCCCCTTAGCCTCCAGTGTATGACTGATAGACAACAACGGTTTGACTGAAAAATATCAAAATTGAAAATACTGTGGAAACAAAGACACCTACATCTTGGATGCCCTTGGGGTAAGATAAAACATATCAAAAATTTATTTCAAAGTGAACTATCCCTTTAAATGTGAGAAACTGAAATGTAAAACAATTACTCAGAAAATACAAGCTTGCCATCTGTATGATTTACTATGTTATTTACATTTTGATTTAATTCATACATTAAATCCTAATTTTTTTTATTGTTTAGCAGCGTGTATAAAGAGGATCAAACTGGAGGCCAGGATTTTCCTCAACCACTGAATGAGGAACTACAGAGAGTCACACACAGACACAAAACCAACATGAAGAACAAGTATGAGAGATTATTTGAGGGAATGAAACTCCAAGGGAATGAAACCTTCCTGAACAGGATCTACACACAGCTCTATATCACAGAAGGAGAGAGAAAGGGAGTGAATGAAGAACATGAGGTTTTACAGATGGAGACAAAAGACAGATTGCAACACTCACTAGGCACTCCAATCTACTGCAATGACATCTTTAAAGCCTCACCTGAACCAGGACACGAGGAGACAGAGCAAATCAAGACTGTTCTTACTAAAGGCATCGCTGGAATCGGGAAAACCGTCTCTGTGCAGAAGTTCATTCTGGACTGGGCTGAGGGAAAAGAAAATCAGGATGTAGATTTCATGTTTGTGCTTTCATTTAGAGAGCTGAACTTGATCCGAGATCATCAGTACAGTCTTCACAGACTTCTGCAGGACTTTCATCCTGATCTGCAAGATCTGGACCCAAAGATTTATGAGGAGAGTAAAGTTGTGTTCATCTTTGATGGTCTGGATGAAAGCAGAATCCCACTCATGTTTTTAGATGCTCAAGAAGTTTCTGATGTGACTGAGACTTCATCAGTGGGTGTGTTGATGTCAAAGCTCATGAAAGGAGATCTGCTTCCCTCGGCTCTCATCTGGATCACCTCCAGACCAGCAGCAGCCAATCAGATCCCCTCCAAATACATCAACCGTGTGACAGAGATTCAGGGATTCAATGAGCCTCAGAAGGAGGAATATTTCAGGAAGAGAATCGGTGATGAGCATCAAGCCAGCAGAATCATCTCTCACATCAGAGAAGCAAGAAGCCTCCACATCATGTGCAACATACCCATCTTCAGTTGGATCTCATCCACTGTGCTTCAAAAGCTCCTGGAAGAAGATCTGAGTGCAGAAATCCCTCAAACTCTTACTGAAATGTACATCCACTTCCTGCTGATTCAGATCCACATGAGGAATCAGAAGTATGAAGATAGAGATCCAGAGAAACTCCTGCAGTCCAACAGAGAACTGATTGTGAAACTTGCTGAAGTGGCTTTCCATCAGCTGATGAAGGGCAATGTGATGTTCTATGAGGAGGACCTGATTAACAGCGGCATAGATGTCACTGACACCTCGGTGTATTCTGGGATTTGCACTGAGATCTTTAAGGAGGAATCTGTGATTCATCAGAGGAAAGTCTACAGCTTCATTCATCTGAGTGTTCAGGAGTTTCTCGCTGCTTTCTTTGTGTTTTACAACTCAACAAATAACAAGGAACCACTGAATGAATTAAGATGTTACGGATTTAATCAAGACTCTCTGTATGATCTACTAACATCAGCTGTAGATAAAGTCCTCAAGAATGCGAATGGACGGCTGGATCTGTTCCTGCGGTTCCTGCTGGGAGTCTCACTGGAGTCCAATCAGAGACTCTTACAGGATCTACTGACACACACAGAGAACAGCTCAGAGGACATCAGCAGAACCACACAGTTCATAAAAAAGAAGATTAAAGATCTAGATGGTTTTAATATGCTACATCTCTTCCATCAATCCATCAATCTGTTTCTCTGTCTGCTGGAAGTGGAAGATTATACTCTGGCCAGAGACATTAATGAGTTTATGAAATCGAACAAACACTGCTTAAAATTCTTGCACACTGCAGCCAGAACAGCGATCCTTTGGAGTGTAGGAAAGGAGTTAGTTAGGTTGGGTCGCATCAATAAGGATTTATCTTAAATCTAGATTAAATCAATGTTTATGTAATAAGTATGTTGTACCAATCTTTAAACCTTGTTTACTTTTAAGCAGGTTTACATTTAATTTATTTTTGAAGGGCATATTGCAGGTTAGAGGACCCAACGAGTCAATGCATAGAAAAACAATGTAGGAACTAGATTTTCTTTAAAATATACTTATAAACACGCTACAGAAGCTTCTGGAGTCGTTTTTGTGAGAAATTTTTACTTCCGCGTCTGAAAATGGGCGTGGCGGGCTTGACGCAATGAGCGGGAGAGCGGTCGATTCACACAACAGGAAAACAATGGATCGCAATGACATTTCAGACGCTGAGGAAATACTCGTACGACTGATCAAGCCATAAAGTTATGAGCCTGCTATGCTAAAGAGAGCAGGGACAGGCCAGGATAATGTCAGACAGAACGGTCAGAGAAAAATTGAGTTGTGGTGTGAGGAGAACCAGTGGAGAACAGGACAGGTGCCTTTTAGGTGAGAGACGTGCTTATAGATATACACGCTCGCTAACGATATACACTGTGCTCACAATATTGTACAGATTATTATGATCCTATAACAGGCCAGCAGACATTAGTATGTTTAGGGTAGATTTATACTATTAAATGTATAAAACTTTACTAGAGTATATTTCTATTGTACCAAAAGCACTCAGGTAAAATTTTAATACATATTTTTCACCTGGGTTATAACATAAACAGAAAATTAAAGATTTGAGTATTTAAACAACCCATTTTGTTTTTCAATTACAAGTCGCCTCTATTTAGGGCATGACAAGACTACGTTACCTATATATCACACTGTTCGATGCCATTGGTATAGTATACGACGATCAATATTCTTGCTTCGGCATCTCATGTTGATCGGCGGGATGATAATCATTTGATCTGAAGTGAACGCTACACACGACCGCGTTTTCCCGAAGCCGATGTGGAAGAGAAATCCCGTCTCTTCACCTGCACAAACCGCACCAGGAACGAAAGAAAGGCTATAGCACCGTCCCTTTTCTTGTAATGGGAACTTGTGGACTCGACCTTGAAGTCCTGACAGGCTGGAGTTTATGCAACCTCCACAAACACAATAATTTACCATGACGATGATCAATTAAAATACAAAAAATAACGAAAGCACACTGACAGATGACCGCAATCACTGAATACCAGCCTACTCTTCACTGAGCCAAGGCTGCGGCTCCCTGATATTACGTCAAATGACGCGATGTTGGAAAAAAAAGCCGTTTTTACTAGCAGTCCAAGAAACGCTCACTTTATCTACTAAATTAGTGCCCTTATGTTGTTTTAAAACATTTTAAATCCTGCATTAACTTTTCATATGGTATTTTCATACAAGGTTATCTATTAATTTCGATTTTTTTTTACCTGCAATATGCTCTTTAAAGCTTTTAAGGCCTCTCTGTACACATTCATGCTCTCTCTCCATGAAATGCGTAAAAACAAAAAAAAATGTTTTGTTTTCTTCCAGTTGTACTCCATTTTTCTGGCTGCTCTCTTAAGGGCCTGAGTGTGCTTGTTGTACCACGGCGTTGGACTATTTTCTTTAATCTTCTTTAAGTGCAAAGAAGCAACTGTGTCTAAAGTGCTGGAAAAGAGAGAGTTAAAAGTTTCTATCGTTCTTCTAAGCTAATGGGATGCTGAGGAGATTAAACTGATCTGAAATATTATTAAAGGGTAACTAAACCCCTGGTCAGAGCCTGACTCCACCCACTGGCAATATTTGAAAAATGCTGGAAAAGTAGAGAATGGCCCTGTCCCAATATCCGCACTTGCGCCCTTGTGCCCCTCAATGCGCGTTCTCGCTAAGGGGTGCAAGACCGTAGGGTGTCCCAATCCTCTAATAGTGTTCTCCAGGGGTGATCAAAAGGGCACTTAATGCACCCTTTTCGTAAGTGCGCATCAGACCTCACTTTGCTATAGGATATTACCCAGAATCCTTGTAGGGGAGAACGGTTGCTATGGTGCTGTTCGGGAGCGGAAACTCCGAAGATAAAGGATGCCGGTGTGGTGAAGAATTTTTCAAAAATATTTGTGTTATTGGGTCACGAAATGTAGTTTTAAGAGTTTTTCAGTCGAGAATATAGTTGTTTAAAGCTCAAATCTGTGGTTTATTTATAAAAATAGCGCCTATTTTAAAAAATTGATCTGACGTTCGGAGTTCCAGGTAGTCACAGGGCGGCGGGTGCTCAGCGCTCATGTACCCCGCCTGCAACAGCCTTGCCCCGGCTAGTCATTCTTGCGTTCCCGCGGGCTCTGTGTCTAGTGGTTAAACATGAGCTATAAATCGGCTTGTGTACATCAGACGGGCGATCTTTGGTCTCATTATTCTATGATTTGTTCCCTGGAAAATCGTTTTGGCTGAGGGGAAAAGTGAAGTTTCATAACTATATATTTAGGCTATTTAACTGTAACGTTGAAACGTATGTTTGACTGAATCTTTTAACTTGCCTTATTAGTTGACTTATATAGCTTCTTATACTTATACTACTTATACTTTTTAAGCTTATACTTTAATAATGGCTATTCTTGGTCAATAAAATAAAAAGAGACAAGGTTGTGTCATTTTATTTTATACAGCCTATATGTTAGACTATTTTAATCTATAGCCTATACAAAATATATCACCAACACGTCATGTTTTTTTTTTCTTTTTTTTTTTCATGTATGGGAATTTCATATATCAATTTCCATAATAACAATTAACATTGCATTTCGAATCTCTGTGAATATGGTAAGGCAGTATAAACTCAGGTAAACCTCAATCACATTTTATCTTAGCCAAAAACTGTTTTAATATTAATAGCATTAACAGAAAGGTTGCTGGCTAAGAGTTAAAAAAAAAAGTAGCTTTTTGAGGTGTGCAAAACTGTCCCAATTCTGCTCTTCACAGCTCCGGGCCCTTGCGCTCTTTCTCCGCTAAGTGCACTTTCAACAAGTGTCCACTTCGAGGAAGGCCTTAGGGCTCAAGTGAGTATTGGGACAGGGCCATAGAGGGGATAAACCGAGGGCGGGGCTGAGCAGGGGGACGTGCACCTGAGACCTGCAGTGACAGATTGATTGACTGTTGCTGTCAGACTCTAAAATGGAGAGTGACTGGAGTGACGCATATAGCTTTGCAACAAAGCGGCCATTTGAAGTCGAGGACTTTTCTCCCCCTCCCTGAAGTGGAGGAGGGTGAATTGACTGTGGACACAGGGCCATATCAACTCGAGCTGCTGGCTCAAACTGAGGTCTTAACTCTCGCATCGCGATCGGCATCTGATGAGTTTTGTCAAGTTGATGTCAATAGCACACGCTCTCTGTATGCATATTCATATTTTGCCGCTATGTGAAAAAATCCAGCAAAATTCGCCCGGCGCATTTGTCAACCACAGAGGATTTTTAGCCCAACCATAAATTGTGATTAAAACATACATGATCACTCACATCAAGACGCCGCTGCGGTGGTGGAGTCCATGCAGGAGGAGCAGTGTTTGGCACTGCATCGCTTTTCGGCGCGAGCTGTGTGGAGAAGCCCATGTTCACCTCTATTCCGTTACCAACCTGACCACTGTACTAAATATAGATAAATCTATGCTACCTTGAAGCTATTCTAACTGATGCAATACTGGTACTAACTAATGCTTATAACAACTACACTAACAACTATGCAAATTAACTACCTAGGCTACACTAAATAATCTAAATAACTATGTAAATGCTATGCTAAAATACTCTATCCTGATTGTTTTCAATACTCGCAATACCAACTCCTGACTCTACAGTGGTTTTGATGAAACAAGATGTTTTTATACTGCCAAGGGCGTGGTGAGCTGGAACCTTCTTATGTCACCTGCAACTGCTTACATCACGTACCACCGCAAACATCCAATAGGAAAATTCAACTGCAGTAGCAGCCATTCAACCTGAAGAGGGCAGCACTCAGACGTTTTTACACCACATATTGTAGAATTAAAACACTTTATACCCAAATGTCAAAAAAGTTACTCGCATCACTGAACAGCACTAATAAAGCCCCATTCTTACAGATGATTAACTAAAAAAAAGTTGGTTTAGTTACCCTTTAATAAAGCAATCTTTATTAGTGGCAGAAGTGATAGGGATACTGTTATATAACACAGAGTCGACTTTGCAGCCTTGGCTAAATGAAGTTTACACGAGACTAGAATAATGATCTGAGATGTCATCGCTCTACTGCTGCAGAATTTCAACGGCATTAACATCTATTCCATGTGATAGTATTAGATCTAGAGTTCCTGATTTAGATCTAGTATTAGATCTAGAGTTCTGGCAGTTTCTGAAAACATGAGCGTCAAGCAGGAGCACCCGAAGAACAGTCCGACAATTGCGGTAAGACATGGTAATTTCTAAACTAAAAACAATATAAGAATCAATGTGTATTCACAGCAAGTAAGTTCACAATGTTTTTTTTTTTTTTGTTGTTCTGCTTCATTTTGTTTCATAGGAAGCCGTCCGTCGCCTGCACAACTCCGAGACGCATCACAGGCGCTATGCTGGGCATACATACAAAGCATGCGATCTACTGTGTAGAAAGCGAATAATGTTGGATTCATATTTCTTTTTACTGTTATTTAATCTCACATTTGTTTTCAGACTGTGTTCGCCTTATAATGCGGCAGTTATGTCGTTTTTGGTCAGAGCTCTGCACGCAAGCCCGGATTGTATGGTGTTGACGATGCGATTCTGTCTAAGTATCTGTTTCTGTGGGGTGTGTATATTGTTTTTATGTTAATATTGTTTTTGATTTATGTGCTGTGGTCATGCTATTTATTTACAATGCATACAAATATAGTTTTCCAGCTGCATGCGTCACAGGCGTCTGTGGATCATGTTCGGACAGAAAGCCACCACCACGGCCCAGAGGTGAACAGAGACAGACATTTCATCCCCGAGCTGCGCATTTGATGTATTTTGTTATTGCTTGTTAATATGCATTTGCTTTCTTTGTTTGTTTTTTTTTTTAATAAAAAAAGTTTTAATCAACATTTGTCTCAGAAATTCTTCATAAATGTATGTCCTAGCTAACACGCACCGCAGCTGAGCATCTATTCAAAGCACGTGCAAACTATTGTAAATCAAAGTGAAAGTAAGTCAGAGACGCTTAACACACAATCATCTTCGTTAAAAGTAAAGAAACAAAATGATCTTACCAGTGCCGTCTCTCTTATTGCGGTCTTTGATTGTGAAATTAGCTGATGATCAATAAAATGCAGCTCATTACTGTTGCTTTCGGAGACGTGAACTCCGTTAAATCTGCATAAAGCGAGTTGTTTGAAGATCGGATGCGTAAACATATTCATGTGACCAGGTGTAATTGGAATCGTTTTGATAAACCAGGTCACTAAAAAAGCTGTAAACGGCCCCATTATGAGCTGTCAGCGTCTGTATAATTTTCTGTTAATTAATTGCAAATTGTGGCATGTTGCAAATCTGTCACATCTCTTGTGTTTTTATGAATGACATCAGCGACTAGTCGACGTCGACTCGACTTTGATGTCATAACAGTCGACTTAAAAAAATCTGAAGTCGTTCAACCCCTATCCTATACCTCATTTATGCACTACAACTGATTGAAAGACAAATAAACCGTCATATTTAACATTTACTTTTTAACAGGACAGAAATTAGGAATGACTCGTTTTCTATATTGACAAGAACCATCAATCAGAAGGGAACAGACAACAAGATGATCATGTTGAAATTTCATAGTCCAAAGATGATAGATCATTTATAGGCCGTGGAAATTTGAGTTTTACAGATACATTACGCTAATATTAATAAATGCACACATTTGTATTGAAACAATTGTTAACTGTAAGCTATGATAGAATATTTTTTTAACAAATCAATTTATACCTCCAAAGGGGCAATGTACAAACATTCAAATCAAAAATGAAACTCGTGTTTTTTAAGGAATCCTTTTTGTGTGTGTGTGTGTGTGTGTCCTAATAATTAATTTTCCACATGTCTAGTACAATTATGTGGTTTTGTTTTATTGATACAGTGTATACTTTTATCTTGATTTATGTTATAGAAATGTTAAATGTGACAACATGCCCCATAGGTGGGGTGCATTTAAACCCTGCTTGCGTCTTCTGCTTGTTAGCGAAGCATTAAAGAACTACATCAACTGTTAAACAACAGATTAATCAAACACAAAAAATAGAGATGAAAAATTAACTTGAGTAAGAAATGTACTTTTGCTATGGTTAAATGTTCAGTGATATCTTACAAAGATCTTTGAATTTTGGCACATTTTTTTCTCTATATAGTGTTGAAAAGGCAACTAGTAAATACATCAAGTTTCGTCACGCTAGTGTGTGGAAGTATTTAAAACTAGTGTGTTACAACTAGCTCCACGTTACGTTGTGCCCAGTTTTTAAACAGGCCTACAGAAAAACTGCAAGTTTATAAGTGCTATGTACAAAAACATACTATTTGGTAATTTTTTTATGTTCATTTTAATGTTAAATGTACAAGTAATTTAAAGCCATAAAATGAATTAGCCTGTGCTCAATTGGCCTGCCAACTCTCCTGACCTGAACCCCATAGAGAATCTGTGGGATATTGTGAAGAGAAAGTTGAGAGACGCAAGACCCAACACTCTGGATGAGCTTAAGGCCGCTATCGAAGCATCCTGGGCCTCCATAACACCTCAGCAGTGCCACAGGCTGATTGCCTCCATGCCACGCCGCACTGAAGCAGTCATTTCTGCAAGAGGATTCCCGACCAAGTATTGAGTGCATAACTGAACATAATAATTTGAAGGTTGACTCCTTTTTTTTAAATTAAAAACACTTCTTTTATTGGTCGGATGAAATATGCTAATTTTTTGAGACAGGAATTTGGGGTTTTCATGAGCTGTATGCCAAACTCAACAGTATTAAAATAATTAAAGACATGAAATATTTCAGTTGGTGTGCAATTAATTTAAAATATATGAAAGTTTAATTTTTATCACTACATTATGTAAAATAATGAACTTTATCGCAATATGCTAATTTTTTTAGAAGGACCTGTATATATACATTTTAGCTGTTGCATTTTTAAAGGAATAACAGCCACAACACTTAAGTGTGTATATATACAGTATACACTGTGTCTATATACTATGTTTGGTGCTATGTCTTTAAAAATGCAACAGCTGAACTGGTGTATAAACATGCTCAAATACCTGAACAGATTGGATGTGGCAAACACTGTGGCATCATGTGCGCTGCCAGGTTACCCAACGCAGATATCTCGAATCATTAGCTGGTCATCTACAACAGCCTGCAGAACAACGGATGTCTAACCTTTCAATAAATAAAAGTCATTTTACAGGGTGTGGGCCACATCTGGGCCAGAAGAAGTTGTTTGAGTCTGCTGTTAGTGTGTCACGCCAGTTTTGAACTGAGGCAAGGATGAGGACCAGAGGTGGGGCAGACAAATTTTGCTATCAGGGTAGAAATGCTTATTTGTTGTGGATGCAATCAGGGTTCGAAATGACTGAGGACTCTTGGGGGGTCCCCTAAAATGTATGTAGGCCTGCCTAATTATTAAATGATAAAAGACCTGCTTGCTACACTATGGACCAATGTCAGGGTTTTTCGTGGCTCAAAATGAAGCAGAGGTGGAAAAACCGTAACACTATGGGGGGTCCGGGGGGCATGCCCCCCTGGGAGAAAATATTGTACATTTTAAAGATAAATTCATTAATCTGATGCACTTTGAGTTATACTGATATCTGTTGTTAAAAATAAACAATAATCTAACCGCCAACCACCCATATTATTTGATTTAGATATCTGATCATCACATTACAACTATGATAATATGGCAACATATCACACTGAAATAGGCTGATTTAAAATGAATATTTATTTAAATGAAAAGTTCTTCTTTCTGCAAAATTGCATTTCCTTTGTAGCCTAAACAGAGGCTTTACTCAAATTGTCAATGTTTCATTTTTGAAAACACTCCTATTGGAATAATTCTCCCACTAAATTTATTTAATGCGTGCTCTAAATTTCATTTCCAATTCTTACATGTTATTAATACATTCAATTAAAATAATAAGATATAGGCTGTTGTTACCAATCAAATTAAATAATTGAAACATAACTATTAAATGAGATCATAAGATTGTTTTATTTATTATATATATATATATATATATATATATATATATACAAATAAGGATTGTCTAAAAGAGTGATACTTTGAAACTAAACCGCCAGTAGGAGACGGCAGCGGCCTCTTAATGAGCGAGTCATTGAGTCATTCATTTAAACGATTCGTTCAAACGGCTGATTTATTTAGAATGAGGCGGTTTAATAATGGGTAATTGAATCTTTGACTCGAGAGATTAGTTCAAAACGCTGAATCGTTCAGTAATGAATCATGTGAGTGTTGCTGTCAGATGCGCTGTTGTTTGGAACTATCCTCGCTGCTGAAACAGACCAAAAAATGTCAATGTAAGTAACTTAATATGAACTATTTTCGCTGCTGAAACAGACCAAAAAATGTCAGTGTAAGTAACTTAATATGAACTATTTTTGCTGCTGAAACAGACCAAAAACTGTCATTGCGTCTAAAAACGTGAGTAACTTAATATGAACTAATTTGTCTATTGCCAGTGTAGACACTAAATATAGGCTAGGTATTATTACTACAAGTAGCCTTAATCTACATTCCTCTCATTGACTTGTTGTGGTGACAGGTCATTCTCTGTTTTCAGTTGTTTAAATCAAAACAATATTCTTGCATTTCTGACGCGCTGCTGCGTGACGCCATCGGAATGCATTCTATTTTACGTCACAGTACTGGAAGCTGCAAACCTGTTCACTGAAAGAAACTTAAACTCACTTGTGACTTGTTGCCTTTCAGTCTACAGCATTTTCAGATCTTACAATTTGACCAGTAGGATTTTGGATACTGTCAGAATGAATCGCAAAACATTTAGGCTCGTGCCCCTGGACTGTCCCAGTCCAGCACAACCTATGTTTGCTTTAGACAGACCTACAAGGAGACCGCTACCACCACCTATACGGAGACCACGACCACCGCCTCAACGCGGTGTATACCCACAATTTGGGCTCGGGCCCCTGGACCGTCCCAGTCCAGCACAACCTGTGTTTGCTTCAGACACACCTACACTGAGACCACATCCACCGGCTCAACGACACCCAGAAAGCATTGGGACGACGAAGGTAAGTAAGAAGGGTATCATAGGATTCACTGTTTTTTCAACCATCATCGGTCATTATTAACACTAAGCTTGCGTTCATATGTTGAGCATTGTATTAAGGTGTTTTCTTCTTCTTATGCATCAACAGAAGCTCAATCGCCAATACAGAATTCCGATGAGTGAAAAGTCCCCGATGTGCAGCCGAAGCCAGTGTGTCAAGCTTCATCCTATCCCTGGCTCTTTCCAGCTCACAGCTAAGCCGGTCCAGGAATCTTTTGGACAACAAAGAAAGCGCAAGGAAGTAAGTGAAATTTCTGATCGTTTCAGTTCAAACGAATATGAAATGTTGAAATATGAAATATCTACTGCTTGTAAATTGTGTGGACTAAGTTTTTCTTTTGTGTCTAGCATCTGTATTCTTGTAACCTTTCTCTCTTTATCTTTCTCAGGAATTTAAGGCGGCTGAATGGCTAGAAGAGGTAGAGGAATTGAACAAGCTTTCAATGAACTCAAGGGTAAGTGGCACACAGAACCAGCACTACTTCCCCTGTACTTTTGTCGTGCTCATTAAATATTTTGGTAACATTTTACAGTAAGGGTACATGAATTATCATGAATTCATGTGTAAATTAATGCATGAATTATGCAATAATATCTCATGAATCATGAGGAACTCAACTAACACAAGTTCAGCGTTTTTCATTCATGACTTCATGGATGAACAACACCTGAATTAAAAGATGGGCACATCATCATGAATTATGATTTATTACACATGATCATGATATTTTCTTTGTTCACAGTTATCCCACCATTAATATCACATTGTTCATCAGTGTTTCAAAAGACCTAGTCACCACTTTAGTTAAGGGGCCACACACATGATGAAGTCATTGATAGACAATGCTTAGTTAATGATGACTTCTGTATTTGATTAACATAATTTGTGTGCTATGAGCTGTGATTGGTCTATTTTGGGGTCCGTCCAATACAGTAGTCATCATTAATTAAGCATTATCTATTAATGACTTTATCATGTGTGTGGCCCCTCAACTAAAATGGGGACTAGACTAGGTCACTGACCTAGACAAAGAACAAAGAAAACACCATGATCATGCGTAATAAATCATAATTCACGATGATGTGCGTATCTTAGTTAATGTTTTAATTAAGGTGTTGTTCATTCATGAAGTCATGAATGAAAAATATTGAACTTGTGTTAGTTCCTCATGATTCATTAGATATTAATACATGAATGAATGCATAATTCATGCATGAATTTATACATGAATTCATGGTAATTCATGTACCCTGACTATAAAGTGTAACCAATATATTAATATGGATGAATAGTGTGATGCTGACTTAAAAATCACATTTCTGTTGCAGAACTGGAGAAAGCCGAAACCACCCATCCGGTTTCCAGAGAGGGGACAGTGGAATGTATTTCCTAAAATAAATTAAGCGGAAGCAATAAAACAGGCGAATGTCTTTTTACAAGGACTCCGTGATGAATGTGCTATTGTTTCGTGGGGTATACTATCTTAAATGCAAATGAGTTAAATGCAGATTAAATGCAGAATAAACACAAATGAGAATGGACCAGTACGTCTCTGTATGGTTATTTGATACATTTATGTACTTATAGAGTTGTAATCGCATCCCATTTGCAATTATGGATGTGGAACACACACAGACACACACAAACACTAATGCTGGCGCAATTTTTTGAAACTACATACACATTCTGTGATAAAGTTTGCTACTTACAAGCGAAATTACAGTTATGCGAGGGAGCTGTGGCGTCATGTTTTACTTGTCATTAGGGCTGGGGTAAACGATTATTAACTAAACGATTAGTTGGGCGATTATTTTATCGATTAGTCGACTAATCTAATGACTAATTGGACGACTAATATAAAGAATATTTTTTCTGCTGCTCAATTAATAAAAAAACAATATCTCAAATAAATACTAGCATACTGAATCAAGATACTATAAGCTGGCTAATGTCGACGTTTAACGCCTCGTGACTAAACAATGGGCGCCAATGTGAGTGTTCACACCGACGCGAAAAACGCCACGCGTAAAAGCGTCAGTTTTAAAAAAACGCCTCGGGTTCGTTTTTTTGGTTTGATGCGCCGCGTCAAAACCTATCCGACCAACGAGATTGCCGGGTTTGCTCACGTGTCTGGTACTTCTGAAGTTACAGTAAAACACAACTTGGGGGCGTTCAAACACAAAACGGTCTTGCCGAGCACACATACAGCGAAGAAGAGATCCTACAAGGCAAGATACCTATGGTGGGCAAGATGAATGTTGAGCTGATGGTCTCGGAGCATAAAGAGCTATAAGATAATATTTATATTAGTATTTCTGTAATAATAGTATAGTATAGGGTGACCAACAGTCCTGTTTTCCTGGGACATGTGTAAAACGGTCACTTTGTGCTTTGTAGAAATCTGAGTTGAGATGAGAACTGCGCATAGTGTGCGTAGTGTCAGTTAGATTTTGACTAGTGAGGAGAGGAGAACCGCTCTGCCGACTCTTTGTATTCTTTCTTTTATTGTATTTTTCTATTGTGACCAGATGTTTGTTTGTTTGTTTTTTTTCTCGCTCGATCCCCATGTATGAGGACGAGTGTAACGTTTGAGTGGTTTTATTAAACGCGAGGAAATACGACAACTCTCGTCTCTCGTGCATCTGTTCATCCGACAACTGCTATGTTTTTATCTCTGGGCAACATCTCAACTTTGCGTTACACATGTCCTGTTTCCACGTCCTGTCCTGACTGTTTTTAAGTGATAAATGTCCTGGTTTTCAAAAAAACTGCTGGGAAAGATCAGTTCTACAGCAAAATATAGATGGACAAACAAGGTGGACGAGGAATAAAATCAAGATAAAGAGAATGAAAACTAAAGATATAAATAGATTTTGTTAGTTCGTTTTTGTAAGTTTGTGAGAGCTATTTTTTGTTATATTTTGGAGGCATTTCTTTTAGTTATCTATTATTTATATATTTATTTTTCTAATACAGAAGACATTATTTCTATCATTTCAATTTTTTTTTTTAATCTGTCAAACATTGAGACATATGATCACCCTAGTATATTCTATTATTATTTCTGTTTTAAATTAAGCGCCATCTAATGTCAGGGAATGAATTTGCATGTTCACTCGGCTCATCGTCAGCGAAAAATGCTTGGGTGTGAACACAAAAAACGGGTTGAAAAACGCTGACGAATAACGCGCGCTGATATTCGTCCCGGTGTGTACGGGCCTTAACGTTAGTCTAATGTTATGTATTTGAACACCATCATTATAACTCTACAACCGCCAAAACCGTGTTATTAAAATATTTTTTACAAACATTTTTTATCATAGAGAATGTTTTAATATTAATATCAGCTGAGGAGGGAAACGGAGGCGGAGTTAGCGGTGCGATCGGAGGCTGCTACTACTGGAGATGAATCGGGAGAGGTTTGTGCACCTACTGATCAGAGCGCGTGCTGACACGGAGTAAAGCCTTGTTTATACTCGACACGTCCGCACGAGCGGGAATGTGCGCACGGCAAAAATGAAGCGTTGGCTGCGCAAGACCAGGAAGACTGTGGCTGGCTGTGTGTACGTCTTTTTTTTTTGTAACAGCGCGCGCGGCGTCGCTTTCGGAAGCGACTTCAAGCCGAATCTGCCCGAGCTTGTACGTCTCACCACACCGGCACCCAGTTTGCGCGTCTAAATTGCAATTTTTTTTCTTAAGGGTTTGTTTACTGTGTGTGATTCATTTAATGGATAGCACACCCAGATAGCAAACTGACATTGAATCAACGTGGAAATATGACATCGAAACAATGTTGATCTGACATTGTTTTGCTCATCGAATTAACGTTGAACCAACGTCAGACGCGTCATTCTTTCAAAACTAACGGAAAATCAACTTAAAATCAACGCGTTGTTTCAACGTTATGAAAGCAAACCAATTTTCGATTTCATTTAGCTTTGAAGAATGCCGCGTCTGACGTTGGTTCAACGTTAATTCGATGAGCAAAATCAACGTTGTTTCAATGTCATGAGAGACGTTGTTTCCACGTTGATTATGTCAGTTTGCTGTCTGGGCATTCACTTCTAGTCATCTTCGTCCTTTATTCTGCAATGTGTCGGTCTCCCACGTGTGTGTGGCAAGCTGTACCGCCGGGAACATGCAAAAAATAAATAAACAAAGAAGCGTCGACGCAAAAATATGACGTCGACGCAATTTTGACGTCGAATCATCGACGTCATCGACGCGCCGCTAGAGCACTACTTGTCATACCGGTGCTTCTGTGGCAAATGTGAGGAGATGGCTAACATACAGAACAACAACAGATATGCACGCAGTTTTTAATACAATATCTTTAAAAATATATATATTTATAAACGGTTCTAATTCTAATTGGGTTCTAATTTGGCCTTTTTTAACACCTCTGAGTAAAAACTTCCAATGAAAAATTCATTTTTTTTAATTGGGTAAAAAAAAAAGATAGTCAGTCGGTGACAAGTTAAAAAGAATAGTCAGTAAAAAAAAACATTACTTATAACAACAATAACATTACATTCTAGTGCTGTGAGTGTGTGTACTGTGAGTGTGTGCTGCATATATATAAATACAAACAACATATTTTTCTTAAATACTGTATATACATGCATGTTTATATATTTAATACAATATAAAATGTAATAATGATGATTATCTTGGATATTTGAGAAAACAAACAGAATTTTGAATCGGTACACCGTTTGGGATGTAAAAATACATTTGCAGATATTTAAAAATGTATTTAACAAAGTACCAAGAGACTGCTAGAATGCTTACAGCACTATTAGATTCAGTACACTGTCACACCCAGTGATGGGAATTTAAAAAAAAAACTATTACTCCAGAAAACAATAACATTACATTCAGAACATTTTGACTCGTTGTCACTTAATTTAACTCCATGCACTTAAAGGTAAGCCCTCAATTTCTAACAAAGTCTCTGATATTTTGAACTGTCCTGTTTTGCAGCACTGGGTGTTCACACCTTTTGCAGACCTCAAATTCTCTCATTGACGCCAAGTGACCTTCACTGATGTGAGATCTGAAGTGTCGCATTACTGCGTTCACTTCAACTTTTGTCCATGCACTTTTGGGTTTCCCTCTGCTTGAGACTAAAAACAAACAAGATGATAAATTGTTAGCATTACTCATTTTTAAGTCATGTGCCTTTTAACCAGAATTTGTTCCCTGGTTGAACTAATACAAATATGTTTAATTAAATAATGTTTATTCAAAATAAGTGACTGTTTATTCAAACACATGACTGTAATTGTACGTGAGAACAGGTAAGCCAACACAAATTTAAATGGGATTGTATGTCCATATTGCGACTTCAAATGTGAAAGCATTTCACTTGAGTAATTAAACCTATTAAACAGTGTTGAGAACCAGTGTTGTAGTCGAGACCACCTCACTCGAGTCCGAGTTGACACCGAGACCAGAGAGAGTCGAGTCCGAGTCAAGACCGAGTCCATTCAGAGTCGAGTTCGAGACCAGAGACGGTCGAGTCCGAGTCGAGACCGAGACCATGAGGGTTGATTACCTAATTTACTTTTATTTACTTAGAGAAATACTTTTTTTTTTTTTTTACTGAATTTACTTAGAGTTTAAAAAATATGATCAGTTTAGGGTAAAAAGGCCACATAGTAGGTGGTGTTAAAAGTAATTTTATTAAAATTTGTCATGCGCAGTTGCACACTAGAAAATCACCAATCACTGGGCGTTTCAATCAATTTAAAGAAATATTTTATTAACATACATTAATAATCATGAAAAATATTTTTAATTGAACTCGAGTGGACTCGGGAATAATTCCGAGTCCTAAAAAAAAAAAAATGTTCGAGTACGAGTCAATTCCGAGTCCAAATGGACACGAGTCCATGACAAGACCAAGACCATTAAAATATGGTCTCGAGACCGAGTCCGAGACGAGTCCGAGTCTCGAGTACTACAACACTGTTGAGAACTAGGAAATAAGTGTTAAGTTTTATTTATTTTTATTTTTTAATTTATGCATTACTTCATTTACATGAATTAAATTAAAACTAAAACCCAAATTTACCATACCATTGTTTTCAGAGACATTTCTGGCAGTGTTTGGTCCATCAGATGTGTCCTTTGGGCACTGTTTCCTCCTCTCCAAATGCTCTGTAATGGAGAGGCAAATAATTGTTTTACAATGCTTTGCCTACATAGAAATATCATGCATACACTACTGGGAAATACTACAGTTGTAAGATAAATGGCTGAATGGCTACTCCACAACAATAGTAAATTAACGGTTTCCAAACCACTGACAAGCTAACTCGTATTGTATGAGAAAATGCTTCTGACCAAAAATGAGTTAGGTTTCTGTGTTGTAGGTATATTATGGTAAGTGAAACCTTTCTGCATCTCCACTGAACATTAGCAACAACATACATCCAGAAAGGGTCCTGGAAAGTCTGTAATTTCGTTTTTTGGTGATTTAAGGCTTGGGAGAAAAAGCAGAATAAAGGCGGACAAAGCTTGGTGCAACGGCGATAGCACCCATGACTCCTACAGGAGGAACCAGATCTCTTAAAGTCCATTGAAGTAGCAAAGCCAGATAAATTAAAAACCAGGATGTAGAAAGTATATTTTTCCTCAGTCACGAGAAAGGAGAGGAGACAGCGGAATGGGAGTCAAGCTGAAGAGGAGGAGCCACACATGACATTAGATGAGTGTTATGCTTTGTGTGCTCATATCAGGGAGGAGAATGCTGTGCTCCCGGTTAATTCTGGGGAGAGAACAGCACCCAGTTGCTCGTGGACAAGGAGGAGGAAGACTTCACGTCTCCCTAATGTCCTCAGAGCCGGAGCCAGGGTCTGCCGTTCTAACACAGTCTCATCCCAAGACGTCATATAACTGACGTTTTGGGACGTATTTTGACCATACGTCAATATCCGCCTTTTTAGGGCCCCCTTAAACGTCGGTAGATGGCGATCCCGGGCCGTCATACAACTGACGCTTTACCTTTAACGTCAGTTAGGTGACGGGTTAGGTTTAGGGTTAGGTTTAGGTATGGGGTAGAGTTAGGATCCCATAACCTCATCTACCGACGTTTAAGGGGGCCCTAAAAAGGCGAATATTGACGTATGGTCAAAAGACGTCCCAAAACGTCAGTTATATGACGTCTTGGGATGAGACCGGGTTGGCCGTTCCAGTGCCAGAGCCAGAGCCAGTGTTTGAGTCTGTGTTTGTGTCTGTTCTTGCGGCTGTTACAGTTTTGGTGTCTATTCTTGAGCCGGTGTCTGTTCCTGAGCTGGTGTCTGGTCCTGACGGGTCTTCACGCCCTGGCCGCCCGAGGGGGCTTCACCGCCCTGGCCGCCTGATGGACTCTCTGTTTCGCCCTGGCCGCCCGATGGGACTCTCTGTTTCGCTCTGGCCGCCAGATAGGTCATCTGCTTCGCCATGGCCACCCGATGGACTATCTGCGTCACCCTGGTAACCGGCTAAACCGTCACCCCCTATTTCCATTCCCTTCCATGGTCCTGGCCCTCCATCCCTCGCCCAGATCCTCCACCGTTCCACCTCCCTTCTGGACTTTTTGTTGGGTTTTGTTTGTTATGGAGCGTATGGTAGTCGCTCCATAGAGGGGGGAGGGGTGTCCACTAGAGGTCTCTTTCCCCTTACTGTCACCATTCACTCTGGAACTGCATTTCCCACAATCCTTTGTCTGTTCTCATCATTGCACACAGTTGTTACTAATTACATTGTTTAGTTCTGTGTATAAATACCCTGTCTGTTTCTGTCCTTGTCACGGAGTCATTGTAAATGGTCACCACACTTGTAAATGGTCACCACGGAGTTCTGTACGTGTTCCTTGCCGGTTTCTTGTTTTGTTTGTTTATTTGTAATTGGATTGCTAACATGGACTTTGAACCTTGCCTGGATGACTACGAGATGGATTATGCTTTAATAAACAACTACTGCCATACTGCACTTACTCACGCACACACACACACACCCATGTTAGACCAGGTATATTGCACTCACCAATCGCCAAATGTAGTCTGTGGCCAAAACATTGCATCCTCTGCCAGGTGTTGTTTTGGACTGCGCAGACGATATTCACTCCATTGTCAGTGGTAATGGCCACGGGTCCATTTGGATTTAACATCCAGGTTGTTGTTACGTCTCTGAGGGCCTCTGCGATATTTTCACCCATGTGATCTTGTGGGAAATAAGTGGTTTGAAGGCATGCACTTTTAATCTTCCAGTCCAAAATATAATGTATAGTGACGCACATGTAAGGCTCGCATGTCCTGCTGCTCCACATATCTGTAGTCAGGGCATAGTCAGTAACCTTCTCCAATTCAGCAGCAAGCCGCTCTCTCTCTGTAGTGTACAGTCGTGGGAGTTCTTGTCTCGCAAAGTAATGCCGACTTGGTAAACTGTATCTTGAATCAAGTGTTTTTAGCATGCGTACAAAGCCAGGTTGTTCAACGACGGCAATGGGTGCCATGTCCACCGCTATATGAAATGCCACGGATTCTGTGATGTTACACCACCTTGCGCTCTTTCTTTCATATTCTACACCCCGCGATAAAGATTTGTGGAGTGTTGTCTGTGTAGTGTTACCAGAGCTAGTAGTGGGTTTAGTGGTTGGGATACTTTGTCTGGTGCACTCCTCGTATGCAAGCTTGTGCCTTTTCTGTAAATGGTGGAAAAGGTTTGTGGTGCTAGAAGCTTTGCTTGGCACCAACTTTCGGCATTCACGTCAGTAGACATCTGTCTGCTGTTCATCCGACGCCTTAAAACCGAAGTATCTCCATATAATGGAGCCATTTGTCCTTTTTTTTAGACGAATTCTGCTTCTGGGCTGGTTGTGGGCGACGCCATGTTAAATGAGACAACACGCGAAGGGAGGGGGAGCAAAAGCAAGGAGGCGGGGGAGCGGAGGCGGGAGCGAGCACACCACAGAGAAAGCAAACGAGCAAAGTGGTAAAATCAAAATTGAATATAAAAAATATCTCGATATATACGATATGTCAAAATTCATATCGTGTTTAAAAAATATCTCGATATATTTTAAATATCGAGATATCGCCCACCCCTAATACAATACCACAAGAACATTTTGATAAAAAACCAAAAAATATTTAAAGTTGTAAATACTGTAGATACATGAACATGAACACAAAATGCAATGTAAATAAATACAAAGCAGTTCCTTACTTTATGGCTTTTTCTGCCTCTCTTTCTTGTCCTTGGGCAAATTTGCATTAAGAAAGACAAGAGCTCTGACCTTTTTGGCCTTCTTCTCTGAGATTATCTGTCCAGTTTCCGAGAATAGTCTCTCAGAGGAAACTGATGTCGCCACAGATTCTTGGCCATCAGCTTGCTAAGCCTGGGGTAAACAGGGGATCCTCATGTGTTGAAGAAGAGTCTCCTCCAGGTAGGCTCGCACCTCCATGAAAGCAACGGCGGTTGGATTCCTGGCTTCCACTGTTCGAGCTACCTGCTCATAGGGATGGGAGATATAACAATGGGAGATAAAATTTTTATGTGATTAGATTAAATTAGATTCAACTTTTGTCATTAATGTAAGAGAATAAAGTAATGAAATGCAGTTGAGTTTAACATTTAATTTGAAGTGACAATAGTAGATTTGCATATGTACAGCATGTGCAGTATGTACAGATTAAATGCAGAGATTTATAGCTAGTGGAAGTTTTAAACTGATATATCAAACTGATTTCATTCTAGAGATTTTCAGAGAAAAAAAATGTGAACTAATGGTTGCCACCCTTACTTCCTCATGAAGATAGCTCCAAACTATTGATCCAGCACCACTGCTGGTTGCTCTTGGATGGGTGTGCCAATGCTAATTCTTGCTTCTGCTGTTGACAGCCTTTGAAATGTCTCATCTGCTGTTCTGCCATCAGGGAAGGCCATCCTCTTAAAATGCGGGTCAAGTGCAACAGTCTCTGCTAGTATGTGGTTGGCATGAATCTTGTGGAATCGCGATGACATACTCGCAGACAGACTGTCGATCACACCTTGCGCTGCCCCTGTTGTAGTGTTTCGCCAGAAATCAGCAGTGGCTCTTTGAAGTCCCCTGGCCAGCACTATGACCTTCGAGGCTGGTGGAAAAATGATACAATGAAAAATGATATATATTGCAATGTATTAAACCGATATCTATTTGGTATCAAATATCCATATTTTTTTATCAGGAAATTGGCATGCAGGCTACAGAAATCTACTGACCATGATATATCCTCCAGTGTATTACACAGATATAATAGATATAATTCTAATATGGTATAAAATATTCATAATTTACTATCAGGTACTCTGCATGGATGCTAAAGAAATATACTGCTGTCCAACTGAGCTACAAATCTTTCTGCACTGAGTTCCACAGTGACTTCCTCAAATGGTTGTAAGATTGTGCATATTTCTTGCACTGTGGTCCATTCCTCCTGGGACAGGTGGCGGACAGGTGCATTGGTGATGGTGCAACGAGTTCACAGTTTTATTAAGAGAAGAAATGCTTTGATTATATTTGAAAAAAAAAATGTTATGAGAAACAGAAATAATTAATTGCTTGGCTGGGTCTTCAGGCTATGCAAATAAGGCCTAGTTCACCTCTCGTGTCATCGGGTGATATCAACGATGATATTGTCCATCACCACAACCCTATTTGCGAGTCAGTGCGCTACATGCTAGCTACGTTTAGCCAAGCCGCAAGCTTGTAAAAACCCACATAAACCACAAAACTACAACAGTAAATACAAAACAACTGTTTAATAACGTAACTTAACTAGGAAACACAAACCCCCTTTTCCAGTATGTCCTTGTTCTTGATGGAATCTCATATTCTGAACTAGGGGCAGTGTATTTTCCTCTCCTTCCGTCCATGCCTCTCTTCTTCTGGACCCTCGATCAATGTCGTTACCACTGTGCTGCTTGCACGATCTGTTATGCGCAGATGATTATCCTGTTTACGACACTGCACGATCCCACACTTACGCACTTGTATTGGTAGGTGCGATCGATTGTGCAATCAATTTTCGAACGTAAAAAGTGACAGCCCTACTGGTTTAAGCTATATTATCTAAGCCGATCTTTTAAAATGTTTGGTCACTTGATGCTTGGCCCTAACAGAAAGCCATTTTCAAGAAAAAACCTACCGGCAGTTCAGCAGGCACTTCTGATGGAAATCTAGCTTCTTGCCCAAATGGTGAGAATTTTGTTGTGGTTTGGATTTTGGATCTCAGCGAGAAAAAGACTTGCATCTAAGTACTGGTCCCAGTCATCCTGCTGATCATTAACAAGCTTTATAAGTACTCTAGAAAAATAATTTTTAGAATTATTCCTAAATAAATGCATTTCAAGACAGACACTACCAACTTTCAATACACTCTGATAATAATGATCAGAAGAGCTTCCAAATAAACAAAACCCTGAAAATAAAATGCAAGAATAATGAATGCTTACCGTTTGGTGTTATCATTGGTTTTCTCATCAAGCCCATTTCAACATAGCCGTAACACTGCTCTCAACAGAGAGCAGCACACAAAGTGAGCTGTTGATCTAAAAAAATTCTGAATATATTTGGTTTATAGTACTTCTGTAAAATATTTCAATCAATAAATCTTTATATGTTGAGCACCAAATCACAAATTACATCATCAGAACGAAATGCATAAAGCGAAGCTTGCTTGATTGACAAACTCCTATCCTTAGTCTGACAGTATGTGCTTAGGCTTTGTACCATGTCTATAAATGACTGTACAAAGGTTTTTTGGCTACTTCTAATGCAGACTTTGTCTTTTGAGGAAAGGCCTTCACCCACTTGGAAAAATAGCCATTGACTGTCAATAAATACTGATACACAGTAGATGTTTTTTTGGAGTGGACCAGTGAGATCAATGCCAATGAGCTCCCAAACAACAGATACCTAATAGTGATTTGAATGCAAATAGATTAAATAAAATAATGCTTAGAATTGTTCAAATCTAGTCGATTACAAAAGATGGTGACCTTGATGCAGTCCAGAGTTTTAACTGTATTCAGGGTTGGTCCCACCCGTTGACATTGGTCACATTACAAACAGTATTAATATGAAGATACCCACTGAGCAAGCGACGTCTGTGGACATACAAAACAGGTTGATTTCACGTCCGTCCGTCCAGGCCATGATCTGAATGTCCATTGACAGCCAGAATTACTTGATTAATGACAATGAGAAATTATGTCCAATCTGGCCATAATCTAAACGTCCAACGACAGCCAGATCTAGTTGAGAAAAGAGGTTCATACTGGCTATAATCTGGACGTCCGGTGACATCCAGAAACAGTCCATAAATGACGTGAATAAAAATGTCCAATCTGGCCATAATCTAAACGTCCACTGACAGCCAGATCTAGTTGAGAAAAGACGTTCATACTGGCTATAATCTGGACATCCGGTGATATCCAGAAACAGGTCTCCGGCAAGATTATTTATTTTACATTTTTAATTAAACTGTGTTCTGACTAGTAAGTTAGCTAAAGAATAAGCATAGTTGCTAATGCTATTGTGTCTACGACAAACGCGTACAAACATTATGGACCTGAATTTTGTATAAGTACTAATGTTTTAAATGTATTTTTCATGTATATATGCTTTATGACGTTATTTTCAATTTGATCAAGTACGTAAACTTGCCAACGCTGTTTGTGTTTAACATTAGTAGCCAGTCAGTTGCTATTGTTGCCAGTCAGATGCTATTGTGTAAAACAAACGTGCATAAAGTAGCAAATGAACATTCAGAAACGTTTATTAAGAGCCGTGTGAGGTGAGGTTCTGTTTGACTCTCTTCATCGCGGCTTTCTCGGTCTGATTCTGCCTCAAACTGATACTGCAGTTATACTGATACGACACATATTTACATGTGGACCGGAGCTCATGACATGCACATTTCGCCCGTAAAGGTAATGGGCGTTAACCTTCCGGACAATGTGAGCGACAGTTTAGCCAATCACAACACACCGGCCCAAACTAACCAATCTGAGCCCACTGCCTGTTTCTGAGGGAGTGGTTTCATAGACTCAGGAAGTCATCCGGTGGTTGGAGGACAGAGGAGAGCGCGGCTGACAATAAAGGTGAAGTTTATGAAAAATAAGACTTTTAAAAAACGAAAAACCACGAATACACGTTATATTGCACACCCATAAACACAATCATGCAAAGAAAAAAAGCAGTCAACCCCCCCTTTAAGTCGCAATGTAGTGAGGAAAAAATAATTCGCTGACTAATGATAACAAGCATTTTGGCTCAGTGGATGACTATTTTAAAGTTAGTGTTAAAGCTATTTCCCATCCTTACAAATACCGCAGCCTGTCACTCCTCCTGTACTAACGTTACTCAGTATATCTAAAGACCTCACATTGCCTTGTGTTTCTCACTCTCGCTAACTTGAATTGTTCATCAAACGTGACATGAGAAAAGCATTTTGTAATTTTAGGATTTAAATAGTACTGTTTTTTTTTTACTATTCAAATTATATTTGACTTTAAGAATTCGTTCCAACTGCTCTGGTGATGACTTTACTTTTTATTGTTACAATACCAAATCAGCATGCAGGTAATCACTCTACTGTGATCACAAGATATAAGAAAAAAAACATCTAATTGCAATTTTTTGACTGATATTGCATATAATATATATTGCATATAATTGCACATAATTTTTGTATCATTATTCTCATTGTAAAATATTTAAAAGATTTTAAGGAGGAGTAGGATCTGTACCAAACAAAGATTTTCCCTTTACACTGTAGGATACGATTTGTAGGCCATGATGTCTCTGCAGCATCACAATACTTTATTTAGAATGGTATAACACATGTTTTGTCTTTAACAAATATTGCGCCCACTGTGATTTGGATAGTGCACTCGTTCATATTGACATTTTGATAAAAATGTGATTAATTGTGCAGCCATACTACTGATCATGACTGACTGACATTTTTGCTTAGGTTCACCCAGGTCTGTGGGCCGTCACAGGTCAACTAGTGGTGAGTTTATACATTTCATTGCTAAATATTGCT